TACTACTAGTAAGGCACTTGTTACTAGTAGCGATGCACTTGTTCCTACTAGCTTCTTGTTTCTAATATCGTCTTGCCTTTGCAAATGTTGCATGACGTCTCTAACACTCCAGTCGAAACTTTCTGTGTACACGAATGTCTGCTCCATCCCAAACTGAGGGATTGCTGCAAGCTGTAGACGTTGGTTTTTACTGAGTTATTGCATGTTCACGGTAGACTAAAACCAGCCTTGCTGAGTGTTGCAATCTACTATCACGGCCAACATAAATGATCAAAGCACAAAGACGAGGCACAAATTGCCAAAAAAAGTAGAATAATCCTTCCAGTTGACGGTTGATGCCAGCTGGAAGTGCAGTCTGCACATCATACTTGTGTCAAAATATGCACTGAGTTGTTTGTGGGAGCATACACAGAATTCAGCAATGTAATGCAAGGGAGACAGGAAACCATTGGCATCCCGTCTCCTCATCCGACAAACAAGGGACTCCCCTTAAATGGTTTTTAGTCGTCTAGTCTTGAAGTCTTGACCATCACCAACTCTCACAAACTCCAAATGCCTGACACTGCACCAGCTGCGAGTGGAGTCATCATCTCCTTAAACCCCACGGAGGCTGGGCTGAGGGTTACCTTGTAAGATGCGGTCACCGGAAGTCGGGAACTTATGTGCGGATGCCAAACAGCAAATGAACATGTTACACATAAGTTGGATTTAAATTGCATTCTGTTGAACAAGCCGTTTATCCGAATTTATCCCTACCTCATTCCATCCCATTCCCAAGCTTCCTCGACCATCCTGTAAGCCCTCTGAGAGAACTTTCAACAAATAGCACATATTCAAAAGCCAGTCCATCAGATCCCCAACATATTCCAGACAAAAACTGCATGCAACTGTCTTTGACGCATCTGAATCTTCCCATTGATCCTGTATGCTGAATACCATTCTGCTCCACATCTCATAGCATTTGGAAAAGTCGCGCCGTACTTTCGACAAGAAACACAGTCGCCACAAAGCCTGAATCAAACCACCTTGTCAGCACTTACTGCACAAACATAGATAATCAAATTCAATAGTAAGATTGCTTTAGCATGCTTTAGCCGTGTTTGCACGTGAGGTGGGTGCAAACCCCGGTGACTGTAGAAGTGAAGCCCCATTAGGTTACTTTACATCTCCAGAATCTCCAGACTGTGTTGGGGTTCCACACCTGGCAGGGCTGAGTAATTCTCGAAAGCTCAATCCGATTTGGCTCATTCTTCCGAATTCTTCCATGCAAGTCATGGTAGCCACCTGATTCCAATCACCAATGCATCCCAACTGCATCCAAGAGATGTGTATAGATATAGATATAGATATAGATATAGATAGATAAGATAAGATAAGATAAAATAAGATAGATAAATAGATAGATAGATAGACAGATAGTTATTCTCTTTGAAAGCTGGGACTACTTTTCCCCTTGGAAGAGACACGCTGGGTTAAAGAGACGGTCCGAATGTGCCAATAACATCCAATAGTTAATAGATGTGAATAAGATGTGCTAGTTTATTTCAACCTGTGCCCCATGGCGCCAAGTTTCGCTCCAACTCGTCACGGAACGCGCTTCGCTCCGGGACACACTAAGAGGCCAGTGCTTGAGCAGTCTGGAAATGAGGGAAATCAATGCAGTTGTAAAACTACCGACTACCAATGAATACGCGTTGTTTTCATGCGTCTAATAGTCCGCTGATACTTTGCATGGATTGCGAATGGTCTGGCACGTGTAGATAAACTTGTGTTATGCCGAAAGTCATAATTAACGAACTGCGTACCGTATATAATCATAATCCAAACCTTGCCACAAAAGCCGGACCTGCTCTGCTACTCCAACCCGGAGCAGTGTCTCCTGGCGAGTGTCGGGGCAAATCTTGGGAAGTGAAAACTACTGACCGGGCAAACTATTTCATTGTCATTGTTTCTTTTGCGGATTTTAGTTGCAATAGCTATGCTGTGCAATGTTGCTCAAAACAAAACACGAACACCCAAAGGACCTTGTCAAGGCCTTGGCCTTCCTCATTAGCAACCTGTGGCTGACACCCACAGCCAAGGAAGCCAGCAATGCCGGTAGCTTTGTCAGCAGCTTTTTGTCGATGCAGTTGGCCTCAGCCATCTGAACTTGGTTATATAAACCTCTGAAGAGCAAGACTGAGCAAGATAAGGGACAAGAACTACGATTACGCTGTATTACGCTGGGGCCACGTCCCTTGACCATTGCTGGTCCAGGGTACCCAACATGTCGACACCCATAGCAGGCCCGAAGTCTTGTGAAATCGGTGCCCTTTTTCAGCGCCCATTGGCAATCCCACAAGACTTCGTTTGGAGGAGTTACCTCAGGTCAACTCTGACTCTGCGGCCACAAGTCTTCTTGCCAAGCATCGTCCATACAACCTTGCAGGATTTCCAGGACCTCCTTCTCTGCATGTGGACAGTCGATCTTGAGGTCCTCACATCATCTCAATTCATCTCAATTCCCCGTCCACCATCATCAACCCATGTACTGACTCTGTGACACTGTGAGCAGCTGATTTGCCAGCAAATATCTTTTGGAAAAGCATAAGACTACAATTACAAGCCAGTCTGCTGCTTCACAACGTGACTCTACCAGCTCCCCCGTTGTATCGCTCAACGAGTTCTCTACTCCCTGCCGTCTTGGGCAGAAGATCGGCTCCTCCAGCGTGCAGAAGATCTTCTCGAAGCTACGGATGAGAGCGGAACGATCCAGGACCTGTGACCTGTCGATGAAGCGGAAGGATCTGGTCACGTTCGACCAGTCACGACGACCAAGGTCCTGAATGGGCTCGTGTCTTTAGTCCGATCCTACTTAATTAAGTAGGTACATGTAGGTACTACTTAATTAAGTAAGAAGGTAAGCTACTAGGCTAAGTTGGCTTCTAGGTAGGACGCAGGATAGCTCACGCTTGCACTATATATATATATAATGATTTGGTTCCTAGATGTTTATGGAAACTAACTTAATGGAACATCATTGAATCATGGATTTGACTGAGCCCTGTCTTGTTGATGTTTCAATGTTCAATCAATCAAAGGCGGATGGAACCTGTCAGAAAAAGATTCATGGTACATCATTGTACATTTTCTGATCTCCGAATATCTCCGAATCTGCCTACTGAGGGCATCGAAGAGCCTGACCACAGCCGAGGCCGTGTCCTGCCGTCGTAGGATGATGCATGTCTTGTGAAACCAGTTCTCAGAACAGCAAGGCGTGTCAACATCTCTGTGCCGGGGTAGCTCCAGCTGCAAGAATTCATCAAATCTACATATAGATGTTTAATGATTTTGACCAGGAGCTGCTTACACCAAGATTACTAAACAGATCTTTGGGCGGAGGTCAACGCCTTTCTGCTAAGAAAGTCCCATCGGTCTCCAAACGTCTCTCGTCTCCTTCTCTCGGTCCACAGCGATTTTCATCGCAACCACCCCCCAGCTCATCTGCCTAAATGGGTCAAACGTGGTGGGTCAAATGGTAAATGCGTCCAAGAAAGCATGGAATCCATATCGAATGCTTCCAGATGCTTCCAGATTCAACTACTCGGAGCAAGAAGCTATTAGGAGCTCCTGGCATTACTACTAGGAACAAGGATGCTACCAGATTCAGCCTATTTCAACGATTTTCAACGCCTAAGCCTTTCTTCACGTTCCCTGCCTCAGATGGGCAAGCGGTCAGCAGCTCCTGGACCTCGAGAACGTGAAATAAAGGTGGCCTTGATGTGCTTTGCCCTCCAAACGCATGGCAAAAGAAATACAGTACACCAGGTGAATACTTAGGTGCATCGTATAAGCTCCTCCATTGAAACTTGTGGGCTATAAAGATTACATTATGTACAGTAGCCTTTCCCCAACACATCTTTTCACTTGCCTGAGGGTTTGATTTGAAGTGGGATCACCGTACAGTTCTATAATAATATATATATATATATATAATTATATATATATATTGTATCACATTGAATCCAACCACTGTGCTGCCGACCTCTCTGGCTGCCTCTCTGTGCTGAGAATTGGACTGAGACCACCGTGTCATCCACTGCCAAAGACACGAAGTACCTGGCCACTCCTGGCCCTTCAGACTTAGGCTTCAAGCTTTCAAAGGCGAAAGCGGGAAAAGCGGAGTGGCTAGAATCTCCTGCTGAACGAAGCTGAACACATCTGAATTCTGGACATCTCTTATCTTTATCTGGACATGCGTTGCTTGAGACTTGAGAGGCCTAGACTCGCAGTCTGTGGATTGAGAATGTTCCAAGACTTGCAGGCTCACTCCACAAGAATTTTTCTGGCATCCTCTTGAAACCTCGGAAGCAAGGAAACTGAAGCGGAAGAGGCTTGCTGAACAACAAGCCTCCAGCATCTTGAGGTGCGTAACAAAGACTGACACAAAGTATCTTACATGATACCTCGTACAAGTCAACACTAAAAGGACAACAAAGTAACAAAGTGGAAAATACATCTGAAGAAACCAACAACATGTAAAAAAGAAGGGGTCTCGGTCTCAGCATGTCACGGATCACACCCGCTCATCTCTGTCTGACTCTGTCCCTCCAAGGAGCCGCCGGAGGCTCCAATTGGGAGGTAGCTCCTCGGCCAGCTCCTCGTCGTTCCCAAAGGACGATGTCTTGGTGCGAGCCTCGGGTGCGGCACTCGGCAGCCAAGGCTCCAAAGCGTACAAGCGATGGCCTCCAATAGCCTTGAAGCTAATAGCGGCCTCCAACCTGCTAGCGATGGACTCCAACCTACGCAATAGCGATGGCCTCCAACCTATAGAATAGTCTTGGTCCTTCTCACCCACGGCCCTTTTCTGAAGTGATTTGGGGATTGGTCGCTGGCCGGGAGGAGTGGTTCTCGAGGTTTTGCAAAACCTGCCGATGGGCTGATGGTCCGCACTGGGATGACAGTTAACCCCGGTGTTGCACATACATTCAACGCCTCCATCTCTCGCAGATGTTCCAGATCATGCAACTCTCTGTGGGTTTTGTAAAAGTGACAACTCCTCAATGAAAAGCAAATACAAAATTAGGATTCATGAAAAAAACCGTATCTAGTCTAGTAGTAACCAGCTGCATGACGGCCTTCCGGAAGAGAGTCAGGCTGAGGCGCGCAGGCCTGGGCCATCTGGTCGACCCCTTTGGTGGCACTCTGCTAAATGTTGCTTGCAAACCACTATATAAGTCTCTAAGTTCTACCAATTTGTTTGGTTTGACGTTTTACCGCACGAACCACGCACCATACATGGCAAAAGGTCACGAAGCTTCGACCCAACTCCGAACGCAACTCGAAGCAATCGCTGGCGGTCCAACCTCCGTGGTTTATCCAACATCGAGAACTCCTTGGAAACGCAACTTCCACACACACCGGGCACCCCGACCACAACACCGCCGCCATAGCCACTCGCCATCTCTGCCCGGGCAGTCAGTCCTTCAAAGCGGGCCTTGGCTGCTACCAGGCACCGCTCCAATTCAGGCGATGAAACACGCTGAAACACGTCTCACAGTCATTCTGCTGCGGAAGGTCGCTTGCTCCTAGTAGCGATGCCAGGAGCCCCTAGTAGCTTCTTGCTCCTAGTAGCGATGCCAGGAGCCCCTAGTAGCTTCTTGTTCACTACTAGTAAGGCCAGGAGCCCCCTAGTAGCTTCTTGCTAGTAGTAAGGCCAGGAGCCCCTGGTAGCGTCCTTGCCTGTAGCGTCCGGCTTTCCGAGCACTGAGTTCCGTTCAAAACCCAGACGAGTGTGAATGGCGTCTTTCCGGCGTCGAAAACCAACCTCTCTGGGATCAGCGCAATTGAGCTAGACATGCCACGGACATCCACAAACAACATGACACGCCTTCACGGACACATGCTTTGAGTGAGTCAAGTTTCTAAGCTGTATCAAACTAGAGTTCTTGCGTCAGGAAATTTACCTGACTGGTGGCTTTGAAGATTGAAAGCCAACAGAGACTTGCAAACATCTGTGAAAACAACATTGGCATTCTCCGCAGGAACTTGCTGTGGCTATGAGCACAAATTTTAATCTGGAGTTGGGCGTTGCAACGTCATGGCAATGCCAACTGTGCACTTGGAGGGGTGAGACTGTCCTCTCCGCCAAATGATCTGGCAAAGGCTACTTGAAATCTATTGTCTATTGTCTTGACAATTGTTCCAGTGTAAAGTCATGTCTTAATTCCGGGACTACAGTGATGAAAATGGAGCTTGGTGTGCATTCATATATAAAGGGTCTATGTAGGCAGAAATTGTTGTGGATTGCGTCATCTTCGACCTTTCATCTTGCCGCCCATCATCTTTTGCATGCTTGCGACCTGTGCCAAAGAGGTTTGCCTGAGACTGAGAGACATGCCTGCTGCCCTACCACAAAAAGAAGGAGACACATGGACACACATTCGTGCATAGCCGTGCCTGAGAAGGATCAATGCCTCCCAGGCCCTCCATCATGCCACCCATATTTTCCATCTTACCAAACTCCTTTAGGCGCCGCTGCCGCAGCATCGATGAGAAGCATGTCAGAGTTTTTGTCTTGCAGGTGTCTGATATAACATGTATTAACATGCCCCAAGAAAACTGCCAAGGGAATCTATGACAAATCTCAAGAATGTCGTC